CCCCTCCTCCTCCTCCTGGGGACCACGGCAGTCCTGGGGTGCCACCCATGGGCACCCCACCCCCCCGGGCTCCTGCCAGCCCCTACCAGCGCCTTCTGCTCTCGGTCCACGGTGAGCTGCTCCAAGTAGCGGTGGAGGTTGTCCCGCTGGAGGCAGCGCAGGGCCAGGACGGGGTCCTGCAGCACACGGTACAGCGCCGGCGCGTCCTGGTTCTCCAGGGCATCGTCCACCTCCTCCAGAGCTCCGTGCACTAGGAGAGAGGACAGTTCACACCCAGGGAAGGCGAGCAGGTCAATCATCTCAGTGATTGAATCCGGCAGCTCCACGGAGCAACGGGGGCTGCAGTTGAAGTTTGCATACCAATAAGTTTAATTTCTCCTTGGAAATGCACACATTCCCCACCGGGTCTGAATTCTGCTGTGCCCACCAGCCCGGGCAGGTTCTCCCCTCCCGCCCAAGGTCCCATGGTCCCACCGATACGCTCATGGGCAGGGCCACCTCCCCCCAGCTCAGGTTGCTCCAAGCCCCGTCCAACCTGGCCTTGAACACCTCCAGGGATGGGGCAGCCACAGCTTCTCGGGGCAACCTGCCCCAGGGGATCACCACCCGCACAGCCGACAATTTCTTCCCAATATCTCATCTAATTCCCCCAAAGAAGGAAGCCACAGCTTTGCTCACCATTCACTTTGTTGATGTTCCCTTGGATTTCAGCCTGGGTCAGACACCGGTCGTAGATGTCCTCTCCCTCAGGGATGACCTGCAGGTACTGGAGAGGGACTCTCCACCCTGAGTTTTCTGCCCAAGCTCACCCCACCAGCATGTAGCGGGGGTCCCCTGCAGATACCTGGGCTCATTTCCCACCCCCAAGCCCTGGGTCAACCACCCCCAAAGAGGAATCATTTCCCCACCACGCTCCCCCCATCTTCTGACCAGCACAAGGACTCCCAGGCTGTGTTTCACCCACCAAGAACAGGGATGGTCTCCAACCAAGAGGGACCCCTCCAGCTGGAAGCTCCCACCAGCACATCGACAAAGGGGCTGCTCCTCTCCCAGTCCCCCCGGGACCCCCCGGTGCCCTCCTCACCCTGTTCCTGGCATTGCTGCTCTTCTCCAGCTTCGCCCGGTGGAGCATCTCCTGGTAGGCACCAGCCAGCGCCTCGCGCAGGTTGAGGAGCATCGCGCTGGGGTTACGGAGGGCCACCATCGTCTGCGCCACCACCCCCCGATCCACCGCTTCGTTGATCGCCAGCACTGCAGCATGGACTGGAGGCGAAGCGGGAAGGACACAGGTGAGACAGGGCACAGAGGGCTGTGATGGAACATCCGCTATATCCCTATGCGCAGCAGGACAAGCCATGCCACGCGTGATGGTGGGAACCCCGTTTTCTCCAAGAGCAAGCTGCTGACTCCACTGCCCAAGGAGTTTAAGTGTCTCTCCAGCAACCCCAGTTAACGCACAGCCCAGGAGCTGCTGGATGGGAAGGGGCTGTGCCAGCCCTTGCAGCCATGCACGGGTCTGCAGGAGAGCAACCGGGTGCCTCCACCACATCTCAGAGCATCTCTCAGAACATCTCATAGAATCGTAGAGTGGTTTGGGTTGGAAGGGACCTTAAAGACCATCTCGTTCCACCCCCTGCCCTGGGCAGGGCCACCTCCCCCCAGCCCAGGTTGCTCCAAGCCCCGTCCAACCTGGCCTTGAACCCCTCCAGGGATGGGGCAGCCACAGCTTCTCGGGGCAACCTGCCCCAGGGGATCACCGCCCGCACAGCCAACAATTTCTTCCCCAGATCTCACCTCAATCTCCCCTCTGTCAGTGTCAAACCATTCCCCCTCATCCCATCGCTCCCCTCCCTGACCCAGAGTCCCCCCCAGCTCTCCTGGAGCCCCTTTAGGCACTGGAAGGGGCTCTGAGCTCTCCCCTTTTTGGCCTTCTCTTCCCCAGGCTGACCCCCCCCAACTCTCCCAGCCTGTCCTCCCAGCAGAGGGGCTCCAGCCCTCCCAGCATCTCCGGGGCCTCCTCTGGTCCCGCTCCACCAGGTAGCGACAGGAGCATCTCTCAGTTCTCTGGCCCCAGATTTGACGTTTGGGAGCTGAGCCGAAATCCCGCTACAGGCCAACGCGCGGCACCGCTCCCCCCACGGGCACCCCTTTACCTGCTGCTTCGTCCACCGAGAGCTCGTTAGCTAAAATGCCCCCGATCTTGCTGAAGGCAGGCAGCTGCAGGCCGTACTTCTCCAGCTCCCGCTTCATGTTGTCGATCTCCTCCTCTGGAGCAGAGCACAGAGACACCACCGCTCAGCGCCAGCACCGGAGAAGGAGGGGGGGGGACAACCAGCAGAGCCCTCCCCTCCCGTTCCCCCACCAAACTGGAGGGGTGCAACAAAGCCCCCCAACATCACCAAGGCAGCTTTGGCAACGCTTGCCCAGGGTCTTCCTTCCCCACTGCCCTCCCACCGCAGGGATGGGAGTTGGCACCACCACAACCACACACCCCCCTCCAATTCGGGTTCCGCCCCCCGCCCCAGCGCCGTACCAGTGAAATCCACTTTGCCGTACAAGTCCTGGATCTGAGGAGCCAGCCCCAGCTTGAAGAGGTACAAGCTGAAAGACGAGAAGCGGACACACGCCATGACCACATGGGATCAACTCACTTCTCCCTGGGGGTGACACCACCCAAGAGCACCAACACAAACCACAACCAGAGTTTCGGCCCCGGGGTCGGACGGGGGAACCCC